TATTTTTACCATTTTAATAGTAAAATACACCAGAAAAATCATGTTAGTAAAGTGCATAGAAATACGGCTCCCCTGCTTAGTTCTTTGTTATTCTTAAATGTTATATATATATATATGATATTAGAATTTATTTCAGCAGTAGTTTTTATTTTCCTTTGAGATTAACACATTAATATTAAACATATGAAAGTAAAAATTTTCTTTTTTTGTTATTGTTTCAGAATACTAGTTACATATTTCTAGAGTGTCCTAATATCTAGAAATTTTAAGCAAGCAGCACATGGTAACATCCAGGAATTGAGCGTTTTTTGAAATACTTATTGTTTAGTAAATGTAACCTTAATAGAAAACAATTTATAACCAAAGAAGTTCAATATGTTAGGTAATATTTTACCTTGATAGTAAAAACTGGGAGGGTAAATTGATATTTGTAGAGAATGGTAAGAAGCTGATAGCTGTAGATTTCTGTTCTCTGCCCTGTCAACGTATGGTGTTTTTTTCCCCTACATTGAGTGTCACCCAAAACAGGTTTATTTTATTCTGTGAATATCCTTGCAAGATGTTTGCTTTTTTTGTTTCCCTCATTTCCATCTGTTGGTTTAAGTAGTATGAGCTCCTGATGGGGGCCCATATAATAATTGAGAGAAAGCTTGCTAGTTAAGAAATTATTTTATTTAGATACATTTTAATTGCTGAAAGTCATAAGCTGAGTGTTTAATGGCTCATGACATTTTCTCTATACCTAAATATTTAGCCAAGACTAGGATTTCCTATAGGTGTTTGTAGAGCTGGTGTAAAAACCAAAGGAAGTCTAAAAGATATTTCAAAGTGTACCATAACCTGTACTAAAGAGTAGCGTTGTGTGAGGTGTGAAAAAAAATAAATGTTATAACCTTTATGATGATTGCTATCCAGATTGATGATATTATCACTTAATTTCAACATTATTTCCTGTAGTGACTCAAAGTGAGTAATTGTTAATAGTTGACCCCATCTAAAAATTGTTATTTTGATTGAATAACTTTACTTTCAAATTCAGCAAAAAGCTTCAGTAAGCTCTTTTAAATAGGCATTCCCATTTATATTGCACTCTCTGTTGTTGAAGGTCATAGTTCCTGCTCATAAGAAGCCTTTTTAGGGAAGCTGAAATAGCAGAATGTAAAACTGAAAAATGGACGTTGCCTACAAAGGGCACAGTCTGCAAGTTAAAATGAACAGTCTTTGCTAACAGTAAACCAGTATCATTAAATAAGACAAAAGGTTCTTGTAATTGTAGGCATTAAAATTGCTATTACATGCATTTAGAAACCAAGACACAAGTAAAAATACCAGTAATTTGTCTTTTAAGCAGCTAGAATTTAATGTATATCTTCATAGCTTAAGAGATTTCTCTCATGACTCTGTAGCTGCTTTTGGTGGTAGCGTTTCCTTCCTTTCAGTATTTTATTTAAAAATGTAAGTAGTATTTCTTGTATGGAGAAGAAACCTGCTGTTTTATCTTTAAAAAATTTTAATAATCTGAAATGATCAAGAGAGCAAATTAGTGATATTTCAAATTCATAATAACTATTTTAAAACAAGGATGAAAAGATGTTTACTTAGTTACTTAATAAAAGTGATTATTTAGAGTGCACAATTTTCTAGAGGACTTTAAGACTTTTGAGATTTTATTTTCAGTAATCATATCTCTAATTTTAAGATTTAGATTCAAGTACTTATTTGTGAGATTTTTGTTTTTAAATCTGAATTTTTGCACCTGTTGACAATCATTTATAGGTTTATGAACCACATGAAACATCATTTGGAACTTGAGAAGCAGAGCAGTGAAAGCTGGGAAAACCACACCACCTGCCAGCACTGCTACCGTCAGTTTCCCACACCATTTCAACTGCAGTGTCACATTGAAAGTACACACACACCCCATGAATTTTCTAGTAAGTTACAATTTCATTTAAGTATTGAGTATTTTGATTTTAACAATGTAAACTCTGAGAAAAGTTTGTTACTGAACTCTGAACAAGTGTGTTAGAAAAATAAGAATAAGAAGATGACTTTGAAATTTGAGAGTAAAGTTGAAATTTGAGAGTAAAGTTGAAAAAGTTAATTTTTAACTTATATAAACTTTTAAATAAAATTAGTTACTGAAATTAAAGTCCCTCTTGTAAATAATTCACTATGGTAAATAACCTGTGCATTACATGTGGGGGACTAAATTAGAAGCCTCAGATAATAGTTTTCAAATATGAAATCAGTGCCCTTCTTTTAAACTTGAATAAGAAAAGTAAATACAATGGTAGTTAAAATCACAGATTTTGGAGCAAGACAGCTTGGGGTCACATCCAAGCTCTGCCTCTTAATATGTGATCTTAATGTGATCTCAGACAGGTCACTTAATATTTGAATAATGGGGATAATAAAAATACGTGCTTCATAATGTTTTGATGGGAACTGAGTGAGTTAATGTAAGTAAAGTCCTTAGAACCGTGCATGGCACACAGTTAACAACTATGGAACTGTTCACCACTACCACCACCACCAGTACGACTACTATTATTATTGTTGTTGTTGATATAGATGTACAAAATGAATTATATATGTATATATCTGATTTTGTTAATTTGCCTCGATAGGATACTTTTTAAGAAAATTGAAGTGTAATTGACATATAACATTGTATTAGTTTCAGGTGTACAACATAATGATTGAATACTTATGTGTATATATGTATCTTAAAATGGTATAATGTCTTTTTTCCCCCACTTTCAGCCATTTGCAAAATATGTGAATTATCATTTGAAACAGAGCATATTCTTTTACAACATATGAAGGACAATCATAAACCTGGTGAAATGCCATATATTTGCCAGGTATACACATATTTTATTGTATACATCGTGTTTGTTTGGTTTGTTTGTTACCTCTTGTTTTGGTTACAAGATTTAAAACTATTAGGCCAGGCATCAGCAAATTTTTTATATAAAGGGCAAGATAATAAGTATTCAGGCTTTGAGGATCATAGGTCTCCGCTGCAACTAATCAACTCTGCCATTGTAGCACACAGGCAGCCATAGACAATAAGTGAATGAATGGGTATGACTGTGTTTCAGTATAACTTTATTTATGGACACTGAAATTTGAATTTCATATAATTTTCATGTCATGAAATATATTTTATTTTTCTAAACATTTCGATAAAATTGTTTGCTAAAATTAAAGTATCTTCTGTAAATAATTTATTAGTAGGAAGTCCCTTGGCATAACTCATACATTGTTATGTAGGGTCAGCAGACAGTTGGAATTGGCCCATAGGCCATTGTTTGCCCACTCCTGTACTAGACAAAGAAAAGCCCTGTGGCAGAAAGACAAACATGAACTTATCTTACCCTGTAGGGAAGAATGTAGGCATACAAGGGAAATATAAAATGCTTTTACTTCAGAGAACCCTACCAAATGCTTTGGGACTAGTATTTTTCCAGAATTTGGAGGAATGAGAAAGTAAGATAAAAATAAATTGTCACTTCCATAGCCTGGAGGCCATTTATAATCTAAAGGAAGATGCTATTTTATATAACAGAAGAACTTTATAGTACCAGAGGTGTCAGAGTTTGAAAACTCAAGTCAGGATTGGGGGTGACAGATAAAAATATCTGATAAAAATAAGGGAATCTAGTTATATTTTGGGAAGTATCCTTAAGCTTTGAAAGGTAATGACTCTTCTGTCTCAAAGATTATCTCTTGATGTTTGCATTAATGGAATTCTTGGTTGTGTAGGCATCAGAGCTGAATTAATAGTACAAAGTATTCTTCTGAACAAGTGACCTACCATTCTTACTTTGAAATTGGATATCATTATAAGTTTTCAAGTTAAACTAAATCTCTTTTTTTTGTAGGTTTGCAATTATAGATCATCATCATTTTCTGATGTAGAAACTCATTTTAGAACATCCCATGAAAACACTAAGAACTTGCTATGTCCGTTTTGCCTCAAAGTTATTAAAATTGCAACACCCTATATGCATCATTACATGAAGCATCAGGTGAGATTTGCCAGTTTTTATTCCTTTAATGTTGTTTTAGAGAAAAGATAGATTATGACTTAGAACATTGGTTAGATTTGTTCTGCAAGGGAAGCAGCATTGTTCCAAATGACACGATTAATTTGCAATTTATACTGAATTACCTGTGAAACTTCCACTTCTTTTCCTTGCTTCCTTTCTGGTGATGATGTGGTTCCTACATGAAAATTCTGAAAGATAGCTAGAAATAGGAAACCTTGGATTGAAGGAAAAAAGAGAAGATGAGTGGAAGAATATCCAAAAGATTGGATATTTCGAGGCTAAAAAACCTTCTGGGAAAGGTAATTATCAGGAGCAGGGGAAAAGATGAGTTTGAACTGATAAAGAAGATTGATGACTCATAATCGTGTTTTCCTCTTTCTCTTCAAACGTTATTCCCACTTTTAGCTCCCATATTATAAGACCTGTTGGCGTCATTGACCAGGAGTGGTCTTTTATAGCTGCCAGGGATAGAGGAAACAGTAGTGACACTTACTGCTTGATATATGAACTCTGGCAAAGAACTGTATTTAGTCCTGCTATGTAATTTTTGGGACCCAGTATTAGTGCTTATACCCATCTCTTGAACTCTGATGTTATACTTACTGGTTCTTTTCCTGAAGCAGTTAAGTCATCCTTTGTTTGGGCTGAAAAGTTTAATGCAACACTGATCCTGTCCTTAAGTGCTTGAAAGAATAATAACAGCGCCTTTGCCCAAACCAGAAGTCAGTAGATTTATTCAGTATGATCATGTAATCAAGTTTTGCCACCTCACTAATTAGCTCATTACATTTTCTTGTTATTGATTAAACTGGCATGTCAGTTTATTCAGCATTGGTGCTCACTTTGCTTTCCATTCTAGTCATTAGATAATCATGAAATCGGCTTGTGGTTCTTCATTGGGAACGATCATAAAAGTAGAATTTCCAAATAAATTTGGGATCACCTATGTTGTGACTGGGTTGCTACCTATCCTTGAGGAGTTGTGGCAAGATATTTCGATTCTGGGTTTCCCCGGCAATGTTCCATCAGTTGTTAATACATGTCCCCCCCGCCGCCACCACCAATTGCTACTGGTAAATGAATTTGGTAAAGGCCTAGATTTACAAAATTAAATCGTTGTTTCTTTTTCACAACAGGATTCCTCAGAAATTTTAATATGCTAATGAACATTGTAAATCTCTAAGTAAGGATATTATATGTATTCCCCAGACTTATTTGGCTATTGAACCCTTTATTTGCTCAATACCTATTAACATTTCTTGAGGAACAGAGTTTGAGAAACACTATTCGTGATACTCTATATTTCTTCTTTGGCTTTTAATTTTCAAAGGGAGAATAAAGTAAAAAACAGTAGTTTTATTTCATTATGGGGATTTAACATCATTTTCCCCATATGCTATATTAAGCTCCAGAGTGAGATATAGATGTAGGAAGAATGATAATTATGAAGGAGATGTGTGGGCCAACTGTATGGGCTATATGATTTTTTTTTAACGTTTTTATTGGAGTGTAATTGCTTTACAATGGTGTGTTAGTTTCTGCTTTATAACAAAGTGAATCAGCTATACGTATACATATATCCCCATATCCCCTCCCTCTTGCATCTCCCTCCCACCCTCCCTATCCCACCCCTCTAGGTGGTCACAAAGCACTGAGCTGATCTCCCTGTGCTATGTGGCTGCTTCCCACTAGCTATCTATTTTACATTTGGTAGTGTATATATGTCCATATATACGCTACTACTCTCTCACTTTGTCCCAGCTTACCCTTCCTCCTCCCCATGTCCTCAAGTCCATTCTCTAGTAGGTCTAAGTAGTTATTCCCGTCTTGCCCTTAGGTTCTTCATGACCATTTTTTTTTTTTTTCTTTTAGATTTCATATATATGTGTTAGCATACGGTATTTGTTTTTCTCTTTCTGACTTCACTCTGTATGACAGACTCTAGGTCCATCCACCTCACTACAAATAACTCAATTTTCTTTATTTTTATTGCTGAGTAACATTCCATTGTATATATGTGCCACATCTTCTTTATCCATTCATCTGTCGATGGACACTTAGGTTGATTCCATGTCCTGGCTATTGTAAATAGAGCTGCAGTGAACATTGTGGTACATGACTCTTTTTGAATTATGGTTTTCTCAGGGTATATGCCCAGTAGTGGGATTGCTGGGTCATACGGTAGTTCTATTTTTAGTTTTTTAAGGAACCTCCATACTGTTCTCCATAGTGGCTGTATCAATTTACATTCCCACCAACAGTGCAAGAGGGTTCCCTTTTCTCCACACCCTCTCCAGCATTTATTGTTTGTAGATTTTTTGATGATGGCCATTCTGACTGGTGTGAGGTGATATCTCATTGTAGTTTTGATTTGCATTTCTCTAATGATTAATGATGTTGAGCATCCTTTCATGTGTTTGTTGGCAATCTGTATATCATCTTTGGAGAAATGTCTCTTTAGGTCTTCTGCCCATTTTTGGATTGGGTTGTTTCTTTTTTTGATATTGAGCTGCATGAGATGCTTGTACATTTTGGAGATTAATCCTTTGTCAGTTGCTTCTTTTGCAAATATTTTCTCCCATTCTGAGGGTTGTCTTTTCATCTTCTTTATGGTTTCCTCTGCCTTTGGAATAAGTTGCAAAGCTTTTATGTTTCATTAGGTCACACTTGTTTATTTTTGTTTTTATTTCCATTTCTCTAGGAGGTGTGTCAAAAAGGATCTTGCTGTGATTGATGTCATAGAGTGTTCTGCTTATGTTTTCCTCTAAGAGTTTGATAGTGTCTGGCATTGCATTTAGGTCTTTAATCCATTTTGAGTTTATTTTTGTGTATGGTATTAGGGAGTGTTCTAATTTCATTCTTTTACATGTAGCTGTCCAGTTTTCCAGCACCACTTATTGAAGCGGCTGTCTTTTCTCCATTGTATATTCTTGCCTCCTTTATCAAAGATAAGGTGAGCATAGGTGTGTGGGTTTATCTCTGGGCTTTCTATCCTGTTCCATTGATATGTATTTCTGTTTTTGTGCCAGTACCGTACTGTCTTGATTACTGTAGCTTTGTAGTATAGTCTGAAGTCTGGGCGCCTGATTCCTCCAGCTCTGTTTTTTGTTCTCAAGATTGCTTTGGCTATTCGGGGTCTTTTGTTCCATAAAAAATGCCATTGGTAATTTGATATGGATTGCATTGAATCTGTACATTGCTTTGGGCAGTATAGTCATTTTCACAATATTGATGCTTTCAATCCAAGAACATGGTATATCTCTCCATCTGTTGGTATCATCGTTAATTTCTTTCAACATTGTCTTATAATTTTCTGCATACAGGTCTTTTGTCTCCCTAGGTAGGTTTATTCCTAGATATTTTATTCTTTTTGTTGCAGTGGTAAATGGGAGTGTTTTCTTAATTTCATTTTCAGATTTTTCATCATTAGTGTATAAGAATGCAAGAGACTTCTGTGCATTAATTTTGTATCCTGTTACTTTACCATATTCATTGATTAGCTCTAGTAGTTTTCTGGTGGCATGTTTACGATTCTCTATGTATAGTGTCATGTCATCTGCAAACAGTGACAGCTTTACTTCTTCTTTTCCGATTTGGATTCCTTTTATTTCTTTTTCTTCTCTGATTACTGTGGCTAAGACTTCCAAAACTATGTTGAATACTAGTGGTGAGAGTGGGCAACCTTGTCTTGTTCCTGATCTTCGTAGAAATGGTTTCAGTTTTTCACCATTGAGCACGAGGTTGGCTGTGGGTTTGTCATATATGGCCTTTATTATGTTGAGGAAAGTTCCCTCTATGCCTACTTTCTGCAGGGGTTTTTATCATAAATTGGTGTTGAATTTTGTCAAAAGCTTTCTCTGCATCTATTGAGATGATCATGTGGTTTTCCTCTTTTAATTTGTTAATATGGTATATCACATTGATTGATTTGCGTATATTGAAGAATCCTTGCATTCCTGGGATAAACCCCACTTGATCATGGTGTGTGATCCTTTTAATGTGCTGTTGGATTCTGTTTGCTAATATTCTGTTGAGGATTTTTGCATGTATGTTCATCAGTGATATTGGTCTGTAGTTTTCTTTTTTTGTGACATCTTTGTCTGGTTTTGGTATCAAGGTGATGGTGGCCTCGTAGGATGAGTTGGGGAGAGTTTCTCCCTCTGCTGTATTTTGGAAGAGTTTGAGAAGGATAGGTGTTAGCTCGTCTCTAAATGTTTGATAGAATTTGCCTGTGAAACCATCTGGTCCTGGGCTTTTGTTTGTTGGAAGATTTTTAATCACAGTTTCAATTTCAGTGCTTGTGATTGGTCTGTTCATATTTTCTTTTCCTTCCTGGTTCAATCTCAGAAGGTTGTGCATTTCTAAGAATTTGTCCATTTTTTCCAGATTGTCCATTTTATTGTCAAAAAGTTGCTTGTAGTAATCTCTCATGATCCTTTGTATTTCTGCAGTGTCAGTTGTTACTTCCTCTCTTTCATTTTTAGTTCTGTTGATTTGAGTCTTCTCTCTTTTTTTCTTGATGAGTCTGGTAATGGTTTATCAATTTTGTTTATCTTCTCAAAGAACCAGCTTTTACTTTTATTGATCTTTGCTATAGTTTCCTTCATTTCTTTTTCATTTATTTCTGATCTGATGTTTATGATTTCTTTCCTTCTGCTAACTTTGGGGGTTTTTTGTTCTTCTTTCTCTAATTGCTTTAGGTGTAAGGTTGGGTTGTTTATTTGAGAGTTTCTTGTTTCTTAAGGTAAGATTGTACTGCTATCAACTTCCCTTTTAGAACTGATTTTGCTGCATCCTATAGATTTTGGGTCATCGTGTTTGTCATTTGTTTCTACATATTGTTTGATTTCCTCTTTGGTTTCTTCACTGACTTCTTGGTTATTAAGTAGTGTATTGTTTAGCATCCATGTGTTTGTATTTCTTACAGATTTTTTCCTGTAATTGATACCTAGTCTCATAGCGTTGTGGTCAGATAAGAT